ACATATTTATAAATATAATTGTTCTTGTTTGTTATTTTAAAAAAATAAGCCTCTGGAAGGGCATGAGATCAATGTCTAAACTTTATGGGATTATTGACATGCTAACTAACTTTCCAGGCATTAGATGTAAATCGTCATTATTATCTATAACACATGAATTAAAATAATAACAACGAATGCAACCTTTTGGTTTGTTTCTATTGGTTTTCTCGTATAGATGATCTCTCTAAATAAAATCCAAAATTGAAAAGAATAAAAGAAAGAAATTGGGTTTTGAATTTATCTTTTGTCATGAATAGATACATGAAATTTCTACTATTTTAAGATAGATAAACGGGAGAAAATGGTAAGGCATATGAATATCGTTGGGCTTGGTTTGCTTCATCTTTGTAATGAGAGGATGAACATTTTTCGTCGATAGAAAAAATATGTTACAACTGCTTAGTTATTTCTCAACTAATTGTTGTTGGCGACTGGTCTCTCGTCCCCAACGATATTTGGCTGCATGCGGTTGACCGACAGAGTTCTACTCTTCTTTCTATTCTTCTAATTCCTTTCAAATTATGGCGGTAGGGTTGTATGTTTGCCCACTCGATTCTATTGATGCATTTCTCCTTCGTTTTAGGTAGTTGTATTCAAAACTAAATTACTGCCACATCAGTACATGTGTAGCTCTCATCCTTCCATGTTGGACAATTTCTAATTCTACATGGTGTTCTCTTTTTCTTACCCATTAAATCATAATTATCATCAATAACATGTAAATTAAGTTAATAACAATGAATGCAACCATTTGGTTCGTTTCTTTGCATTTTAAAGTGTAGATTAACTCTCTAAAAATAAAATCCAACATTGAAAAGAAGAAAATAAAGAAATTGGGTCAAGCCCTATAAAAACAAACAAAACTCTCTTCTTATTTGCTCAAAATTTGAGTTTCTAGCATTTATCTTCTAAACTATTTTATGCATAGGTAAATGGACGGAAATTGTAAGGGATATGGAGTTTTTTCATTGCGAGAGAATATAAAACTATAGGTACAACTGTAAACAATTAGATGAGAAACAATGAGCATTTGTAACATAATTTTATTTCTTGACGGAAAAAATTTCATTCTATCATTGCGAAGACGAAGAGAACCAAGCAGAAGACTGACGACTACTCCCTCTTTCCTGTTGATTTGCAGCAGGTGACTGGTCTTGCTTCCCCAACCATCTTTGGCTTTTTGCAGTTGACCGGCCGAGTTGTATTCCTCTTCCCATTCTTTTCTTAATTACTTTCATATTATGCGCATGGTTGTAATTAAACTTTCTACTCGATTCTACCTATTTATTTCTTCTTCATTTCTGGTAGTTGTATCATGGTTTTCTATTATGTATTATTCTTTTATGTAAATAGACAATTGATAATTGGGAATGCTACTTGCTTGGACTTAGAGATTCTCTCCTTGGGTTGAATAAGTTTATTCTTGGAGACCTATATTAGCCTTATTCCTTGGATGCTCACCTAGAAAGCAGAGTTGCGAAGATTGCACCTTAGCATGCTCTATCAGAGGCTAATTTTATGTTTATTATGTTATGAGTGACATACTACTAGCTAGCTATATAATAATGATACGGTAAATTAAATGAATAAGCGGAAGATTGATTATGTGGATTCTAATATGGTTCCTTGCTTTATCAAAATTGCACGGATAACTAATATTGCATGATATTCATATGGTTCCTTACTAATTTAATGCACGTTTGGTAGGGCTTCCTGTGTTTCGATCAAAGTATCCTAGTAGATCACTTTTCACGAGTGAGAGACATAATGACCCAACTGCTGGACGTTAGAAATGGAGACTAGAGGAATCCCAAAAATGGCGTGGAGCTTAGTCGATCTAAGCCTAAAATGGCACTTGAGGCACCACTCTTGGAGCCTCCCAAATCAAGCCATAAACGTGTATAAATGCTTTACTTTGAGTCTACGTTGGAAGATAAGCCAAAGGAATTTGTCCAGATAGTTTTGTTCATAATTTCTCTCATAGAAAACATGATAAAAGAGGTTATAAACAGACCATCTAGGCCTTCATTTGAGACATAAGTTGAACAGGGAATCAACTAGTTTGTAAAATATTAGAAACCTGAGGGCATAATGTCAATCATTTTTAAGGCCTTTTGTAATCTCATCTTTGACTAATGTATTCCCAATCCTGACCCTATGTGTGACTAGTTTGTTAGGTTTGTAGGTTTGCAAACTCTAAAGGTTCCTTAGATGATGTAACGTTTTATTCTCGGCTATGTATATCATATTTTTTTTCTGAATCCTCATTATTATGTTTAATGCGTTTGGAATATCATTGTACACGTCTCATACTTGGGTGGATTGTAACAAGGAAGCCTATAGCAATTGGCACATTGAATGCTTACATAGATTGTGCGTAACCTTCACTGCATAACGTCACATATGCAACGTGTATGTTGACGATCCCACGTGTCTACACAGTACAGAACCCACGATAACGTCGTTATGCGGGGATGGCAGGACAAAGGAGCATATTTAGTGAAGGAATCAGTTATCAATTCACTCAACCACGTATTTGCATAACCAATATCATAGGGAAATGAGTCTAAGGAAATCTAGGGGGAGTTGGCCTATACACTGCCTCTCACTTTTATTTTCCCAAATCAATAGTGTAGTTTGTGGAGGCCCTGGCCTTGAGAATGTTGGTTGACTTGTAGCACAATAGTAAAACAAAAATCCGTAGTCTTACTCCCCTTGCACTCAGTCTCAGGAAGAATTTTTTTTTTTGACAGTCGTCTCAGGAAGATAGATGGGACGATTCAGGTGAGATCTAACGTAGATCCAACTTTCTACTCACTCGTTGGATCCGGGCGGTTACGTGCATGGACAACTTTTGCGTAATCACCCCGCTCCTAATACCAGCTGTCCTAGGACAGGTACCCAGAGTTTGACCTGCTGGACAATAGCATCACAATCCGTGGCGACCACATGTAAGGGTTTTCCTTTATAAAAAAAGAAGAAAAAGAAGAGAAAAAACAGTTTCAGTGACGAGGTTTAATATGTAGATGAAATGCAAATTTGAATAAGAATTCCATTTATATCTACAAGTTAAAAGAGGAGTTGGATGACAATGATCACTACAACAAAACCTATATATAGAGGCTATGAAAATTTGCTTTTACAAATTAGTATTTGCCTCTATACATATTTAGAGGCAAATAATTCATTTGCCTCAAATACTCGAGTTGCTATAGCTTTATATAGGCATATATAGAGACAAATACTATTTGTTGCTGATTAAATGATCTGCAACTAATATTTTAGCCGCTAATGCAATCGTTTGTTTGCCTTCATATATAATATTAGAGTCACACATATCTGCCTCTAGAATGATCTATAGAGACTAAAATAATGTAAGATGCAATTTATATTTCTCTTATGAAACATAATTTTTTCCTTCTGTATTGTGAAACTCAATAGAGAAATTTTATAATGCTATATAGTATTGATGCTATAGGTTTTTGCCTTTATAGTACAACTTAAAATTGTACATTTATGTTATGGTACAACTTCAGATCGTAGAAAAAAATCCTCAATATCAGAGTATCTAGATTCCAGACTAAACTTAAAATAATACAGTTGAAGAAATTAATCTGGCTAACATAACATAAAGGAAAGATCGAAGTTTCGAGATCCTCCACACAAATCCTTCCAGTGTTGTTCTGCTCTCTCTCGGCAGAATTGTCCCCCAAATCCTCGTCGCCGGCGAAGACATAGGCTGGCTCATTGGCTGTCAATCTCCATTTGGTCTGCTCGTCTCCGAATTGGTCTCCTAAATTGTCTCCGCCTCTAAAAGCAAGCTCCACACGGACAAGTCCTTCTAAATATGCCGTCAAATATGTCGGTATCTACCACTAACCTTGCCGAGAAACGACCACATATCATTGTCGACTGGTCCCAACATACCCATATCATTTCCAAGTCTTAATTGTTTCGTCTAAGTGCTCGTCACCAATCTTCGTCGGATTTTTTAGGCAGAGGTAGAGCAGCGATCTGGAGATTAGGGTTAGGGTTTTGAGGAAGAGGTAGATGAGAGCGATTAGTCGACGGGATTAGCTTACCAGAGATTGTGATTGGGGTTTTGAGGAAGAGGGAGAGATATTGGGGATTTGGTTAGGTGAATTGAGAAGAAGAAGCTCGCAGGAAGGCGACTGTGGGAGTTTTATTTGTTCTCCTAAAAAACAATAAGACTGTCTCCAATGTAGCCTGCATATTTGGGGGAGGCGGCATTTTTGGGGGAGATTGAGGTCCAATGGGGCCTGCATATTTGGGGGGGGGGGGGGGGCATTTTTGGGGGAGGGAGGCATTTTGATCCCCAAATTTGGGGGAGCAAATGCCGATGGCGGCATTTTTTGGCGACCGGAAATTTCGGTTTGGCGGACGACTGGCAACCCAACCTTTTTTAATTGTTAAATAATTAATGGATAGTTAATTAAGGGGTCGTTTGGATGGATCAATTGGGAAATGAAGCAATTTGGCTCAATTCGCTCATTTTTAAAAATGAGTCATTTGTATGAGAAATTTGTGTGAAATTGTCTTGTTTGGTTTGTTTATAGGTTGAGGCAATTGGAATGAGACATTTTGTCCAAAATATATTTTACCCTCCTTTTTCTCTACCTCTTTGTAACAGACCAGAATCAAATCCAAGATCAATAGAAAAGAGATCCTTCAGTATCATCGTTGTGCACAACAAGATCATCAATCCTTCCACTGGCCACTAGTAATTAGGAAGCATGGGAATAGTAAAATTCAATGATTGTTGTTGTGGCCTCTGTTTTATTATGGGGTAATGGGAACAAGGTCCTCCCCTTGAGAATCAAAACAATGGAAACAAACCCAAGCACAGGGAGAAGTCTACCCAAATCAAGCAATCTGGTTTTCCCCTGAATCAAACAAACCCCCTTATAGAAATAGAGCATGCAAAATATGAACCTAAGCTTCACTGAATTTGAAAACCTATGAGAAATAGAAAAAATCTAGATCAACCCACAACTTAACTACATGCAGAACTACCAATTGATTTCTACATATTCAACATCGCAAGCGCAAACGAGCAACACATGCAGGTCCTCTCTTCCCTCTTCGTCGACTAACTTCCCGCTTTGTCTTCTGACTTCACCCTCTATCCAATGAGGTCTCTCCAATAGAAAGAAACAATAAACATTCCCTTTCATCATCGTTGTTACATGAAAGAAAAAAAGGACATAGAAGAGAAGGGCAAAATTTTTTTGGCAGATTGTTGCCAAGAGACAAAAAGGAAAGAGAAGAAAAGAAGAGGAAGAGTTCCTAATTGTAGAGGAAGGAAAGAAGATGGGAAAAAAGGAAAGAGAAGAAGCAAGGAGGAAGGGTTCCTCATTGCAGAGAAAGGAAAAACGATGGGGAAAAAGGAAAAAGAAGAATAGAGGATGAAGGGTTCCTCATTGCAGAGGAAGGCAAGAAGATGGTGAGGTTTATTTATGGGGAGAGAGAAAGAGAAAAAGAAAGGGTAACACTTGGAAAGAGAGAATAAAAACGAACCAATCATGATTACCTCCCCCACCCTCAGGTATTCTCAATTGACACATAATGGTGCAATTTTAATTTTCACAGCCCAAATTGTTTCGTTTCAATTTTGTGGAGTCAAATAGGTCAATTTGGCTCAATTGTCTCATAAAAAGACCCATCCAAACGCCTCTAAGGGAATTTTTGAAGGAGAAAAAAAGGAAGGTGTTTACTTAAGGAAATGAGAATTAATGTTTGTAATTTTTTTTAGACTTCTTTAATTTGTATTTAATTTCTTTTATTTGATAATATAACTTCAATTAAATTTGTTTTATTTAAAATTTAAGTTTATCATCTTGAAGTTGAATGTAAACAAAAATTAGACAGATATATTATTGAAATGAAAATGCGTTCTTGAATTACAAAACAAATTGTCACCAATTGAATTACAAAGCATCCCAACATCGATACCAAGCAATAAAAATGACTAATTATTTCAATGCAAGTTCCAAATATGCTCGACCAAGTCCCGACGAAGCCCATGATGTATTGGTGTAGCACGAAGCCTATTATTCCTAGTCAAGTATTCAGTTAGGGTTGAGTTGGTTGTTGGTCATGTACCTCATAATCTAGATTATCTTCCATCTCATCGTTAGAATCAATGATAGACCATTAATTACACATGTTTTTACCCCTATCCTTTAACCTTTTGAGACATCGATTCTCGTGTTTTAAGCCAATTTCACGGTAGGTTGTGCGTTTATATCATATTTCAGGGCTTAGCATTGGCATCGAGGCGAAGGAACGAGATTTGGGTCGAAAGGAGCAAGTGAGGTTTGAAGTGTGCTGGAGAACAAAAATACCCAGCCATGATCAGAAATACCCGGCCGAGTATTATTTGGCCATGGCCGGGGATTTGACGCTTTGGGCGTTGTTGAGAAACAGAGAGGGGCCCGGGCAGGAGGCAAAAATCCCCGGTCGGGGATTCTTGGCAATGACCGGGGATTTTCCCTTTAACCCGACGGTGCGTTTTGAACATACCCGGTCGCTACCCGACCAGGTATTTAGACCGGAGATCGCGATAGACAGCTTCTTAAGGGAAAAGAAGGCTAAAAATCAAGGGTTCTGAGTTTTAGAGAGACAGAGCGATTCCTAGAGAGAGAAAGCAACGAACCAGAGTTCCCAAGTGCCCTAGCTTGATCTTCATCACCATTGGAGCCCGGCTTGAGCTTGGAGAAGTGTCGATCGACAACCAGGAGCAGAAATCCATCCTTCACAGTATGGTTTACACATCTGAATATGCTTTTACTTCTCTCTCCATGGAGTAGTTATCCCATTCATCTGGGTATGGAGAACCCTAGATTTGTATGTTAGGTCTGATTGTATGAACCCAAGTACAAATTTTATGATTTGATTATATTCGATTGAGGTTTGAATGATTGAATGACTTGAATCTTGATCAAATTCCTGTTATTTCTGCTTTAGCCTAGAAAGAGAATATCTGCCTAGGTTAATAGAGCACCCTTAATTGAAGGTAGTGAATTGGCGACTTTAGTCGAGGAGCCAGTTCACTATTCTGTACCGAATTTGCTTCGGTAGTGGAGGTTTGGTTCGTTAGGGCCTCAATCTGTTTACTCCGGTGGAGGTAAGTCGCCCGCTTAGGACTCAGATTGAGAGGGTCTGGAGACCTTTAGTTGAGACTTCAGACTGTTTAAGAACCTTCCGCAGTATAACTATCATAGAAATTGAACTTGGTAATTGCAATCTGGCTTAACTGCACTCTAGGGGGAACCATATCCGGGTGACCTCTCTCGACTTGAAACAACTGTTTAATTGCTTGCTTTGCTTGTTTGCTTAATTGAACCTGCACTAAAGTTTCACTGCTAGATAATAAGAATTCACTTAGTAGTCATCACATCTAGGACCCGGGTTGACATTAAAACCAAAACCGCTATACTACGTTTTAGGAAGTTGTTACACTTGGCCATTTTCTAGAGTGACAGTAGGAGTGAGTCAAGTTTTGGCGCCGTTACACTTCACAATGCACTCCTCCTGGCCACTGACGGCACCCGTTCCTGGGTGGATGGGCTCTCCATGCCCCCTGAGGAGGATGCGGACCTCGATGAGGACGAGGAGGATGCTGATTACACCGATGAGGAGGATGATGATGATGGCGGGGCCATGGATGCTGATGAGCCGGAGCCCCCACTCTCTCCACCAGGGGACCTTCAGCCACGACGGAGATCAGAGAGAGGCAAGTCCTCCTCCGGTCCTTCTAGTCCGTCGATGGCTTCTGGCCCGTCGATGGACTTTTTCACAGAGCAGTTCCAACAGATGGGGCTCCAGTTCCAGCAGCTCGGTCTTCAGAACCAGCAGCTCATGGACCATCAGGTCCAATTTTTCCAGCAGTATACGGCCCACCAGGCCGAGTACCAGTCTAGGCTGACGGTCTTCGACTAGCGCCTCGACCGGATGGAGGCCCAGATTGGAGTCACTGGTGCTCTCATCGAGCGGGAGCGGGATCGTGGCTGCCGATTGATGGAGTACTCAAAGCACCTGCTCCAGACTTGTCATCCACCGGAGGAGCACCACTGGACCACCCGGTGGGATCACTCGCCACCGCGACCACCATCACCACCACCAGAGGGGGGCGACGATCTCATGGACCAGATTGACTTCACCGAGCTCGAGTAGGCTGTGCTCGTAGCCCCATTTTGTGTTGTTTCCCTTTATGTCAGAATGCAAACTGTCTTGTGTGTTGGTTTATTTTCTTTTCTTTCTTTTGATTTTGGATGATGTACTATTTGGCTGACCATTGGACCTAAAGTACTGTGTTTGAGTTCTTTTGTTCCCTTTAGCTGTGATGTGTCCCTGACTAGTCCTTCTCCAGTACGCTTCACTCAGACTGGTTCGTTTCCAGTCCATGCAGTCCGTGCACACCGGTAACATCGTTCCCCTTATCCTTCCCTCTTCTCCATTGAGGGCAATATCGATCTTAAGTGTAGGGGGATGTTTCTCTTTTGACTGCGTTAGATCTGTTTGTGTGCTTGGAGCCTAGTCCTCTGTCCAAATTTTTTAATTTGAGGGCTCCAAGTATGTGTTTCCTTGCAAATTGCCTGCTTAGTATGCATTGAATTGACAGTCTCTATAGTAATGTGCAACCTAGGGAGGTAGTGTAGCACTATGAGGATGTTGAAGCATAAGATTTTTCCTATCTAGCTCTCTGCTGTGCCAGTTGATTTTGTGAATTAGTGGAGCTAAGACCATTGAATTCATGTGGTAATGGTAACTCTATGTGGATTGTGTTATGGACTTGTGTATCGAACAGGATGCTCATGTGAAAAATGAAATACAGTTCGTCCTCCATGTCAAAATCATTAAATCTTAACCATGGGGTAAGCCCAACGTGTGCGGCACCGTTCATTGCACAAAATCGGGTTTTGGAAGAGATTTTAGTGATCCTTAGTGGGGTACTCCTACGAGGTGAAGCTAAGCCGTCTCTAGTACAAGTAAAACTTCCACCCGTTGAACGGTTTGCCTACTTGAAGATGTGTTTTTAAGGGCACGGATAGAGCTTCCGACCCCCCTTAATTTCATTGACCCTCCACACGAGTTGAGGAAAAGGAGTTAAAAGTAGTACTCTGGCGAGCGCCAGATGTACAGAAATTGCTCTTGCTCGACTAATAAGGGTCGACCGTGCAAACGACTGCAGTTGGAACCCCACCAAATGAAAGAAAAAAAGAAAAAATGTAAATGAAAGTGAGAAAAAGGGGTTCCAACGATGAAATGAAGTGAAAAGAGCACCCCGGTACAACGAGTCCTTGGTTGTGAATGATATGAGTCCCTTTATCCATGAACTGACTGTCTTACTTTTACTTCTTCTCATGATCCTGGCTTGAGTCTAGTACTCGCATTGAGAGAGATAGGGAACGTCTTAGAAGACCAGTTGACCTCGTAAGCTGCTATATGATCTAGGAAATCCTCTACCGACGATCGGGGTTGTTTGTTGCTATAGAGGTATGGAGAGTTGCATTGGTTTGAGTTAGGTTTGCTTGGGGACAAGCAAACGGTTAAGTGTGTGGGAGTTTCATAGACCATTAATTACACATGTTTTTACCACTATTCTTTAGCCGTTTGAGACATTGATTCTCGTGTTTTAAGCCGATTTCACGCTAGGTTGTGCGTTTATGTCATATTTCATGGCTTAGCATTGGCATCGAGGCGGAGGAACGAGATTTGGGTCAAAAGGAGCAAGTGAGGTTTGAAGTGTGCTGGAGAACAAAAATACCCTGCCATGATCAGAAATACCCGGCCAGGTATTATTTGGCCATGGCCGGGGATTTGAAGCTTTGGGCGTCGTTGAGAAACAGAGAGGGGCCCGGGCAGGAGGCGAAAATCCCCGGTCGGGGATTCTTGGCAATGACCGGGATTTTCCCCTTAACCCGAAGGTGCGTTTTGAACATACCCGGTCGCCACCCAAAATACTCGACCGGGTATTTAGATAGGGGATCGCGACAGACAGCTTCTTAAGGGAAAAGAAGGCTAAAAATCAAGGGTTTTGAGTTTTAGAGAGACAGAGCGATTCCTTGAGAGAGAAAGCGACGAACCATAGTTCCCAAGTGCCCTAGCTTGATCTTCATCACCATTGGAGCCCGGCTTTAGCTTGGAGAAGTGCCGATCAACAACCAGGAGCAGAAATCCATCCTTCACAGTATTGTTTCCGCATCTGAATCTGCTTTTGCTTCTCTCTCCATGGAGTAGTTATCCCATTCATCTGGGTATGGAGAACCCTAGATTTGTATGTTAGGTCTGATTGTATGAACCCAAGTATAGATTTTATGATTTGATTATATTCGATTGAGGCTTGAATGATTGAATGACTTGAATCCTGATCAAATTCCTGTTATTTCTGCTTTAGCCTAGAAAGAGAATATCTGCCTAGGTTAAGAGACCTTTAGTCGAGACTTCGGACTTGAGAGGGTCAGGAGACCTTTAGTCTAGACTTCAGACTGTTTAAGAACCTTCCGCAGTATAACTATCATAGAAACTGAACTTGGTAATGGCAATCTGGCTTAACTGCAGTCTAGGGGGAACCATATCCGGGTGACCTCTCTCGACTTGAAACAACCATTTAATTGCTTGCTTTGCTTGTTTGCTTAATTGAACCTGCACTAAAGTTTCACCGCTAGATAATAATAATTCACTGAGTAGTCATCACATCTAGAACCCGGGTTGACATTAAAACCCAAACCCGCTATACTACGCTTTAGGAAGTGGTTACACTTGGCCATTTTCTAGAGTGACAGTAGGAGTGAGTCAATCAACCTGCTCATCCTCGATTATCATATTGTGCAATATAATTCATTTAAACATTATATCATTAATTGTGGCAACATCCCAAGATCTCGCAAGGCCACGAACGATTGCCCATCTAGCTTGAAGAATTCCAAAGGCCAGCTTTATGTCTTTTCGATGTGCTTCTTGACATCGAGCAAACAAGGCTTCTTTGTCTAAGCTTGGATTGCTGAATGTTTTCACTAAAGTTGACCACGAAGGATAAATACCATCAGTCAAATAATAACATTGATAATAGGTATGACCGTTTACCTCAAATCGTACTTGTGGAGCGGTTCCGTTGAGGATACAGTCAAACATTGGAGGCATCTTCAAAACATTGATGTCGTTATTTGACCCATGCGGGCCGAAGAAAGCATGCCATATCCAGGTGTTGTACGAAGCCACTGCCTCGAGAATGATTGTTGGTTTACGGTTGTACCCCATGTACTACCCAGTCCAAGAAGTAGGACAGTTCCTCCACTCCCAGTGCATGCAATCAATTGATCCAATCATACCAGTGAATCCACGTTGAATCCTTAGATCAGCAGGAGTTGGTGCACGGAGGTATGTCGATGAGTACATCCCGACAATGGCTCTGCAAAACTTCCTGAAAAATTCCAGCACAGTGTTCTGACCCATACACATGTAGTCATCAAGTTGATCAACTGGAGAGCCATAAGCTAGCATGCGCAGTGCACTAGTAAGCTTTTGCTCCGGCGATAGGCCTAGGTGGCCAACGACATCACTCCTTCGTGGAAAAAAGGGATCATACCTTACAATGACACCCATTATGCGATTGAATAGTCGTAATTGCATACAAAAACGCCTTCAAAATATGAGGGCATCGTATGTTGGATTTGGATTGAAGTAATCCTGCATGAGACGTTCATGACCTGAGACCCATTCACGATCAATGCAAGTGCGACTTGTTGAACAATGACGTGAGGATGAAGCTTCCTCAAGCCTCCGCCCGATTAAAGCCAACCGGTGATAGTTAAACATATTCAACTCATCTATCTCTTCTTCTCCTCCAGACGATGATTAGTCTGAGGAACTCATGATGGGTGTGTTTATTTTAGAACTGGGAGGAAGTTTCAGACAAGTATAAAATTGATGGCAAATGGGGGATTTGCATTTATGCTCAAATTTGTCTGACCTAACGATCATATTCAACCTTACCTAACGGTCATATTAGAACATGTGAGGTATGATCGTCATACCTTACCTAAGGAGGGCATATGTTTGAATATGATCGTACCTCACATGTTCGAATGTGATACCTACCAACCTTACCTAACGGTCATATTAGAACATGTGCTACCTACCAACCTTACCTAACGGTCATATTCGAACATGCGCTACCTACCAACCTTACTTAACGGTCATATTGAAACAACCTTACCTAACACCTTACCTAACGGTCATATCCAAACAGTCATAACCTAACGGTCATAAATTCTCTATATATTCAGACATCCTCTCCTCTCTCTCTATCTCTCTCTACCATTCATTCTTACTGAATTGAAATTTTCTGTTAGTCTCATCATTCTTTCTATCATCTTTGTCTCTCTAAAAACCAAACAATGACAATCAAGAGAAAAGGGAATTGGAAAGTGGAAAGTGGAGGAAGATAAAAACTTGTGCAGTTCTTGGGTGACGATATCAGAAGATGGAGTTGTGGGCGTCAATCAAATGGATAAAAAGTTATGGGATAGAGTGGCGGCGCAATTTTGATCGAATTATCGAAACACATCTCGTACTATCAAAAGCATATCTAATCGAATGGGCACAATCACCAAATACTGCAAGTTTGGAATTCAGCTATCCAAAGGGCAGAGAGGAATCAACCAAGTGGCACGAATCAAATGGATGTGGTATGAATTCTCCATCACCATCACTATTATTTCATAAGTACGTGTGTTCTATTTTCTAACTCCTTTTCCATCTCATTCATTCATACATATAGGAGCATATGGCAGAACAACTATATTTGAGTGAGACCGAAGAAAAGGGTTGGAATTTTGGTCATTGTTGTTGGATCTTGAAAAGATGCCAAAAATTTCATATCGTGATAACAATGCCGTCTTCAAATCAAAGCCGCATGAGTCAAGGTTCCGATAGTTCTCTCATGGGTCTTGGTTATCAATCAACACCACAGACAAACCTCAATGACACAGAAGGAGACGAAGAAACTCCACCATTCGTCGGAGAAACTCCACCATTCGTCGGAGAAACTCCACCCTTCGTCGGAGAAACTCCACCATTCTTTATATCTCGCCCTACTGGACGCGACATACAGAAGACGGCTAAGCAGAAAGAAAAGGGGGCTGCTGAGTCATCAGAGAGCTACACTGCTCAATTGATGGAGGTTGGAGGTGAGTTGAAGGAGAGACATGCTTCGAGGGCTGAGTATGAGCGAAGAAGGATGGAATTCCATGAACAAAAATCAAAGTTTGATCAAGAAAAGTGGGAACTTGAGAAAAAAGGGAGTGAAGCAACACTATTTCGGAACAACCTTGATCTTCTTGAAAATGACTTGTCGAAGTTGACACCAAGAAAGAAGAAGTTTTACAAAAGTCATCAAAACATGCTCATAGGGTATGATCAAGATGATCCCAACTCTATTCCCGACTATTCATCCAACGCAAGTCAAACAGGAGGTGGAGATGGAAGTGGAGGAGGAGATGAAGGTAGAGGAGGAGATTACGGGAATTACTAGTCTCTTCTGGGCGATTATTGACATGTTATGTGTTTCCTTTTTATCATTTCAAGTTTTGTGTGTTATTTTTAAGCTTTATCTTTTTCAAGTGTTGTATGTAATATTTAAGCTTTATCATTAGCAAGTGTTGTGTGTAACCTATGAATTGTACCATTTGAATTATTATTATGTCAACTCCTTTAGCTTTATCATTTTCAAGTGTTGTGTGTAAACCCAAATTAGGTCCATAATTGTTCGCCAAAATAAATTCGGTCTCGGAATTTAACAAAGTTCTATCGAAAAATTTGTATTAAAAAATGATTACAACCTATACAAAAATTAACATGAACAAATTATATTAAGTCTTTGATAAGTACATTTTAACTAAATGGAAAACTGGAAAATTTAAGTCTCACAAATATGGAGATTGAAGTATTGGAGCAAAAGAAGTGAAAATGAGGACCAATCTCCAAATTTGGGGATGAAGGCCCACAAATTTGAGGTTGTGCATTGGACTTGGCCTGGTAAAAGAGTGAGGTAAAAGAGTGAGGCCCTAGTATATAATTAAAAGTGAAATATGAATACAAAAGGTAATAGCTATAGTGGCAAATACTAACATCTATAGAGGCAAAAAAAAAAAAAAAATATTATTCATATTAAAGCATTTGAAGTTGCAAAACTTAAGAGCTATAGAGGCAAATTATATATTTGTAGTATCTTTCATAATTTTAGAGGCACATAATTGTATCTTTTGAGGCAAATCGTATAATTGTAATATATCTCATACTTTTAGAGGCACATAATTGAACCTGTTGAGGCAATTATATATTTGTAGTATATCACAACTTTTAGAAGCACATAATTGAACCTATTGAGGCCAATTATATATCTATTTCATATGATATCTGTTTAGAGATAAATACAATATTTGCATCAACAATTAGTCGATATATGTGGGATTTGTAGTAGTGGATGGTTCTCCTGAATAATTCCATGCACGATCATTTTAGATAATCGGTAAGAGCTAGCCTGCCAAACCTAACATAGTTCTTGTCTTCAGTGGTGGACCTAGTAAAGGGCAGGGTGTGTCATGCGACACACCCTCGTCGAGAAATTTTGTGAAGCACCTACATATTTTTTGTACAAATTTTTTTTAATTCGGGACTTCCGACATACCTTAAATAATTGTGAGCGACACACCTTCATTATACGAGAATGATTTTCTTGTTATGAAGTTATTTATCTTAATTAGTAATACACAATAATAAGTAAAATCAAATAAGTATGCTTGTTTTAGAGTAACACACACCACAACCTAGGGATGGCAATGGGGCGGGTTTGCGTAAACCAACCTCATCCCCATTTCCAAATATTCAAACTCATACCCGCCTTATACCCATGCAGTGGAAGGTCTTACAAACTCATCTCCATACCCGCGGTTTATCGATACCCATGGGTAATACAGCCCCATCAACTACTCACCATTAATAAAAGAATTTGGTGACAAATATGGATTATGGAAATAATACATAAGAGGATGAAATTACGGTTTTGTTGCCATCAATTACATTTTAACACTTACTTTTTCTTTTAATTACCCTTCATTTGATTGACAAGTTACAATATACTCCTTATATTTTATGTATATAACATAATATCATTGGTGCCTTATTTCATGGTATTTACCTCTTTCTTATTCTTAAGCAAGTCCCTGCGAGGGCATAAATGATCCATGATTTATGTTTCATCTTTCGTTGCCTTTTCGTTTGCTTGAGAAATAGAGATCAATTCCGATTCTTTCTTTTTCTATCGATTCTTTTCCGATGGCGGGTTTGGGTATGGGTATGGGGCGGGAGAGTAAAAAACCATACTCGCCCCATACCCATCAACCTTTTTGGGGTTTTATACATACCCGCCCACACCCAGTCAGCGCAGGGATTCCCTAAGTTGACTGGGTTGGAGGCGGTCGGGTACCCGTGCCATGAGTTTGGTTGCCATCCCTACCACAACTCAACAATGGAAAAAATAAACATAACCCCGTCCTTTGAAATTCACCGTTGCCACCCCTTAACCCTTCCTTTATTGAAAATAAAAAATGAAATAAAAAACCCACCCTTACCCCGTTTTAGTTTCTAATTGCAGAGAGCCACTGCCACATCTCCCTTTTCTTTTATCCTTTAGTTTTACTTGCTTTTGGAAGTTGGTGTTGACTTTACATGTTGCAATTGAAAGCTGCGAAATATTTCTGCTATGAAGATAATCAATAATGAACTTCGAAATCGGTTGAGTGACCAATTTATGAATTATTGTTTAGTTGTATATATAGAAAAGGATTTGCTTCGCAACATAAGCAATGAAAAGGATTTGCTTCTCAACTTGAAAACAACCTTTAACTGCTTTGCTTGTTTGCTTGTATGGATCTTCACTACACTTTCATCTCTAAATAATAAGAACTCATGGAGTAGTCATCACACTTAGGACCCGGGTTGACATTAAAACCCAAACTCGCCTTGAGCATGAAAACAAGGGAAACAAACCCAAGCACAGGGAGAAGTCTACCCAAATCTAGAAATTTGATTTTCCCCTGAATCAAGCAGACCCCCTTATAGAAATAGATCATGCAAAATATGAACCTAAGCATAACTGAATTTGAAACCCTATGAGAAATAGAAAAAATCTTGTTGAACCCACAACTTAACTACATGCAGAACTACCAATTGATTTCTACAGCTTCAACATCGCAAGCCCAAACGAGCAACACACGCAGGTCCTCTCGTCCCTCTTCGTCGACGAACTTCCCGCTTCATCTTCCGACTTTACCCTCTATCAAATGAGGTCTCGCCATGAGAAAGAAACAATAAACCTTCCCTTTCATCGTCGTTATTACAAGAAAGAAAAAGATGACATAGAAGAGAAGAGAGAAATTTTTTTGGCAGATTGTTGCCAAGACAAAAAGGAAAGAGAAGAAGAGAAGAGGAAGAGTTCCTAATTGTAGAGGAAGGAAAGAAGTTGGGGAAAAAAGGAAAGAGAAGAAGCAAGGAGGAAGGGTTCCTCATTGCAGAGAAAGGAAAGAAGATGGGGAAAAAGGAAAAAGAAGAATCGAGGATGAAGGGTTCCTCGTTGCAGAGGAAGGCAAGAAGATGGTGGGGTTTATTTATGGAGAGAGAGAAAGAGAAAAAGAAAGGGTAACACTTGGAAAGAGAGAATAAAAACGAGCCAATCAAGATTACCTCCCCCACCCCCAGTATTCTCAATTGATCCATAATGATGCAATTTCAATTTTCACAGCCCAAATTTTTTCGTTTCAATTTTGTGGAGCCAAATAGATCAATTTGGCTCAATTGTCTCATTTTGAGTCAATTGGACCAAATTACCTCATAAAAAGACCCATCCAAACACCTCTAAGGGAACTTTTTAAGGAGAAAAAAAGGAAGGTGTTTACTTAAGGAAATGAGAATTAATGTTTGTAATTTTTTTAGACTTCTTTAATTTGTATTTAATTTCTTTTATTTGATAATATAACTTCAATTAAATTCATTTTATTTAAAATTTATGTTTATCATCTTGAAGTTGTATGTAAACAAAAACTAGACCGATATATTATTGAAATGAAAATGCATTCTTGAATTACAAAACAAATTGTTACCAATTGAATTACAAAGCATCCCAACATCGATACCAAGCAACAACAATGACTAATTATTTCCATGCGAGTTCCAAATATGCTCGACCAAGTCCCGACAAAGCCCATGATGTATTGGTGCAGCACGAAGCCTATTATTCCTAGCCAAGTATTCAGTTAGGGTTGGAATATCTATGTCGACATTTAGTTGGTTGTTGGTCATGTACCTCATAATCTAGATTATCTTCCATCTCATCGTCAGAATCAACCTGCTCATCCTCAATTATCATGTTGTGCAATATAATGCATGTCAACATTATATCATTAATTTTGGAAACATCCCAAGATCTCACAGGGCCATGAACGATTGCCCATCTAGCTTGAAGAATTCCAAAGTCCGCTTTACGTCTTTTCGATGTGCTTATTGACATCGAGCAAACAAGGCTTCTTTGTTTGAGCTTGGATTGCTGAATGTTTTCACTAAAGTTGACCACGAAGGATAAATACCATCAGCCAAATAATAACATTGATAATAGGTATGACCGTTTACCTCAAATTGTACTTGTGGAGCGGTTCCGTTGAGGATACAGTCAAACACTGGAGGCATCCTCAAAACATTGATGTCGTTATTCGACCCAGGCGGGCCGAAGAAAGCATGCCATATCCAGGTGTTGGAAGAAGCCACTGCCTTGAGAATGATTGTTGGTTTACGGTTGTGCCCTAGGTACTACCCAGTCCAAGAAGTAGGACAGTCCTCCACTCCTAGTGCATGCAATCAATTGATCCAATCATACCAGGGAATCCACGTTGAATCCTTACATCAGCAGGAGTTGGTGCACGGAGGTATGTCGATGAGTACATCCCGACAATGGCTCTTCAAAACTTCCTGAAAAATTCCAGCACAGTGTTCTGAGCCATATGCATGTAGTAATCAAGTTGATCAGCTGGAGAGCCATAAGCTAGCATGCGTAGTGCACTAGTAAGCTTTTGCTCCGGCGATAGGCCTAGTTGACCAACGACATCACTCCTTCGTGCAAAAGAGGGATCATACCTCACAACGACACCCATTATGCAATTGAATAGTCGTAGTTGCATACAAAAACACCTTCTGAATATGAGGGCATCGTATGTTGGATTTGGATTGAAGTAATCCTGCATGAGACGGTCATGACCTGAGACCCTTTCACGATCAATGGAGGTGCGACTTGTTGAACAACGACGTGAGGTTGAAGCTTCCTCAAGCCTCCACCCGATTAAAGCCAACTGGTGATAGTTAAACAGATTCAACTCTTCTATCTCTTCTTCTCCTCCAGACGATGATTAATCTGAGGAACTCATGATGGATGTGTTTATTTTAGAACTGGGAGGAAGTTTCAGACAAGTATAAAATTGATGGCAAAGGAGGGGTTTTGCATTTATACTCAAATTTGTCTGACCTAATGATCATATCGAAACATATGCTACCTACCAACCTTACCTAACGGTCATATTAGAACATGTGCTACCTACCAACCTTACCTAACAGTCATATTCGAAGTTGCGCTACCCACCAACCTTACCTAACGGTCATATTGAAACAACCTTACCTACCAACCTTACCTAACGGTCATATCCAAACAGTCATAACCTAACGGTCATAAATTCTCTATATATTCAGACATCCTCTCCTGTCTCTCTACCATTCATTCTTACTAAATTGAAATTTTCCGTTAGTCTCATCATTCTTTCTATAATCTTTGTCTCTCTAAAAACCAAACCATGACAAGCAAGAGAAAATGGAATTGGAAAGTGGAGGAAGATAAGAACTTGTGCAGTTCTTGGGTGACGATATCAAAAGATGAAGTTGTGGGCGTCAATCAAATGGATAAAAAGTTATGGGATAGAGTGGCAGCGCAATTTTGATGAACGATTGAAACACATCTCGTACTATCAAAAGCATATTTAATCGAATGGGCACAATCACCAAATACTGCAAGTGGTTGAATTCAGCAATCCAAAGGGTAGAGAGGAATCAACCAAGTGGCACGAATCAAATGGATGTGGTATGAATTCTCCGTCACCATCACTATTATTTTCTAACTCGTTCATTAGTACGTGCGTTCTATTTTCTAACTCCTTTTCCATCTCATTCATTTATACATATAGGAGCATATGGCAGAACATAATATTTAAGTGAGACCGAAGAAAAGGGTTGGAATTTTGGTCATTGTTGTTGGATCTTGAAAAGATGCCAAAAATTTCATATCGTGATAACAATGCCGTCTTCAAATCAAAGCCGCATGAGTCAAGGTTCTGATGGTTCTCTCATGGGTCTTGGTTATCAATCAACACCACAGACAGACCTCAATGACACTAAGGAGACGAAGAAACTTCACCATTCGTCGGAGAAACTCCACCCTTCGTCGGAGAAACTCCACCATTCTTTATATCTCGCCCTACTGGATGCGACATACAGAAGACGGCTAAGGAGAAAGAAAAGGGGGGCTGCTGAGTCATCAGAGAGCTACACTGCTCAATTGATGGAGGTTGGAGGTGATTTGAAGGAGAGACATGCTTCGAGGGCTGAGTATGAGCAAAGAAGGATGGAATTCCAAGAACAAAAATCAAAGCGTGATCAAGAAAAGTGGGAACTTGAGAAAAAAAGGGAGGGAAGCAACACTATTTCGGAACAACCTTGATCTTCTTGAAAAGGACTTGTCGAAGTTGACACCAAGAATGAGGAAGTTTTACAAAAGTCATCAAAACATGCTCCTAGGCTATGATCAAGATGATCCCAACTCTATTCCCAACTATTCATCCAACGCAAGTCAAACAGGAGGTGGAGATGGAAGTGGAGGAGGAGATGAAGGTAGAGGAGGAGATTACGAGAATTACTATTCTCTTCTGGGCGATTATTGACATGTTATGTGTTTCCTTTTTATCATTTCAAGTGTTGTGTGTTATTTATAAGCTTTATCTTTTTCAAGTGTTGTATGTAATATTTAAGCTTTATCATTAGCAAGTGTTGTGTGTAACCTATGAATTGTACCATTTGAATTATTATTATGTCAACTCCTTTAGCTTTATCATTTTCAAGTGTTGTGTGTAAACCCAAATTAGGTCCATAATTGTTCGTCGAAAAAAATTCGGTCTCGGAATTTAACAAAATTCTATATAAAAATTTGTATTTAAAAATGATGACGAACTATACAAAAATTAACATGAACAAATTATATTAACTCTTCGATAAGTACATTTTAAGTAAATGGAAAACTTGAAAAATTAAGATCCACAAAAATGGAGATTGAAGCATTGGAGCAAAAGAAGGGAAAATGAGGACCAATCTCCAAATTTGGGGATGAAGGCCCCCAAATTTGGGGTTTTGCATTGGATTTGGCCTAAGAGAAGAAGGAGGTAAAAGAGTGGGGCCCTAGGATAAAATTGGACATCGCTTGAAATTGGACTAAAAAAATTTTGAGTGGGCAAGCCTGAAAAGATTGGGTGGGCGCTAGAAAAGTTCCAAAAGAAGAAAAATTGGGTGGGACCCTCTCTCTTGTTTTATTCACATTTCATTTACTAAAATACTGATTTTTTTTATAGAATTAAATATTGACTTCAAGTTAATGGATTCGTATTTTTTAAAGTAATTAAAAGTGAAATATGAATATAAGAGGTAATAGCTATAGTGGCAAAAACTAACATCTATTGAGGCAAAAAAAATTATTATTCATATTAAAGCGTTTGAAGTTGCAAAACTTAAGAGCTATAGAGGCAAATTATATATTTATAGTATCTTTCATAATTTTAGAGGCACAAAATTGTATCTTTTGAGGCAAATTGTATAATAGTAATATATCTCATACTTTTAGAGGCACATAATTGAACCTGTTGAGGCAAATATATATTTGTAGTACATCGCAACTTTTAGAAGCACATAATTGAACATATTGAGGCAAATTATATATCTATTGCATATGATATTTGTTTAGAGACAAATACAATATTTGACTCAACAATTAGTCGCTATATGTGGGTTTTGTTGTAGTGGATGGTTCTCCTGAATAATTCCATGCACGATCATTTTAAATAAACGGTAAGAGCTAGCATGCCAAACCTAACATAGTTCTTGTCTTCAGTGGCGGACCTAGTAAAGGGCAGGGTGTGTCATGCGACACACCCTCGCCGGGAAATTTTGTGAAGCACCTACATATTTTTTGTACAAATTTTTTTTTTAATTCGGGACTTCCGACACACCTTAAATAATTGTGAGCGACACACCTTCATTATACGAGAATGATTTTTTTTGTTATCAAGTTATTTATCTTAATTAGTAATACACAATAATAAGTAAAATCAAATAAGTATGCTTGTTTTAGAGTAACACACACCACAACCTAGGGATGGCAACGGGGTGGATTTGACAAGTTACAATACACTCCTTATATTTTATGTATATAACATAATATCATTGGTGCCTTATTTCATGGTATTTACCTCTTTCTTATTCTGAAGCAAGTCGTCGAGAGGGCGTAAATGATCCATGATTTATGTTTCATCTTTCGTTTCCTTTTCGTTTGCTTCGAGAAATATAGAGGTCAATTCCGATTCTTTTCCGATGGCGGGTTTGGTATGGGTATGGGGCGGGAGAGTCAAAAACCATACTCGCCCCATACCCATCAACCTTTTTGGGGGGTTTTATACATACCCGCCCCATACCCGTGACCATGAGTTTGGTTGCCATCCCTACCACAACCCAGAAATGGAAAAAATAAACATAACCCCATCCTTTGAAACTCACTGTTGCCACCCTTTAACCCTTCCTCTATTGATAATAAAAAATGAAATAAAAAACCCACCCTTACCCCGTTTTAGTTTCTAATTGTCGAGAGCCACTACCACATCTCCCTTTTCTTTTATCCTTTAGTTTTACTTGCTTTTGGAAGTTGGTGTTGACTTTACATGTTGCAATTGAAAGCTGCGAAAGATTTCAGCTATGAAGATAATCAAGAATGAACTTCAAAATCGGTTGAGTGACCAATTTATGAATCATTGTTTAGTTGTATATATCGAAAAGGATTTGCTTTGCAACAAAAGCAATGAATGTATTTACAGACATTTCAGAACAAGAAAAGTCATTGTGGTTCGTTGTGAACTTTATGAATAAATTTCTAGTAATTTCTATTTAATTTTATTAATTTTTAGTAATTTTTTAATTATTATTTTATTTTATCAGCGACATACCTCTCCGACAATTCTGAGTCTGCCACTACTTGTCTTCTTAATATGTAAACAATATAAACAAATCAGTTCCATTTATTAGCGTTTCCTTATGGGAATAATCTCAGTAATTTGGAAAAGAAGTATTTTGTGGAAGACAATCATTGAAGACAGTGGGTTGATCCCTGCCGCAATCGTATTCTCCTGCCGTTGCACTGTCGATGAAATATTTGAAGACAATTTTGTAGACACAAGATTCATTTTATTCTTAACATGCATTTTTTGAGGGATAAAGACACATTTGGTCACTGAGATTACTAAATCGGGACATGTTTAGTCACTAGAAAAAATTAATATCAAATTTTGTCACTATAATTACTAAAACAGAACACATTAAGTCACTCGCCGTTAGTTGCCGTCCAACTCCGTTAAAAGAGTTCGTTATGTGCAAACGTGGCTCACGCGAGCGCCTAGTCAGTGTCGTTTTGGGCCGGAAATGTTCAAACACGACCCGCCACGTCACTAAACCCGCCAGGTAATTAACCCAACCCGACCCAGAAATAAACCCTAACCCACCTAACCAAACCCTCTATCTTCTTTATATGGCTTTCTGTTCAAAAGAAGCCTTTCAATCTTTCATTCATGCTCACATCCCTTCATTTCCTTCTCGTTCCGCAGTGCTCATTTATCCATTCTCTACTAATGGCGGGACACTTCTGCTTATGTGGAGATTCAACAGTTTTGAAGACCAGCTGGACTGATGGCAATCCAGGAAGGAGGTTCTTCGGGTGCAGCAAGTACGGGGTAAGTTTCCCTCACCTTCAATTCATCTGTACTTTCACCACTGGACTATCCTTTTCCTTCACCCTTCTTTCTTTTCTATGCGATTTGTAGACAAATGGGGCTTGTAATTACTTCAGATGGCATGACCCAGTACTTGACAAGCATATGAAATTTATGGTGCTGAACTTTCATCGTCGAATCCGGGAGCAAGAGAATAGGCAAAATGGGAAAGGGGCCAAATCTAATGGCAAAACATTGTCCATCTTCTTTGTGTTTGCTCTTGTATTCTTTTGCATTTGGACCGGAAAAAGTAAGCAGCTCTTTGCTGAATCTTACCAGCTATACTCGAAGGTTTTCTGTATTGTAGACTGTGTAACCCTAAAAAAATGACATTTCACGTTTGGTGCCTCAAATTGCAATGTAGATGCATGTTTTGTCACTTGAAAAGCTAAGAAAAGAACACTTCATACTTTTATAGCAATTCATGGCTAATGTTAGTCACTCGGAAAAGCAATTATTAGTCACATTTGGTCACTGGAAAACATTTCAGAGCTACATGATGTCACTCGAAAAACAAATCAGGTCCATATTAGGTCCGTCGAAAAACAATGCAGGGTCACATTTGGTCATTGGAAAACAGTTGTAGGGTCACATTTGGTCACTAGAAAAGGCAACTCAGGACCACATTTGGTCACTGGCAGTGTTCTGTATTTTTCACAACTTGGACAATTGGTTACATAAGATAGTTAGTGATAAATAAAGCCTTAAAGGCTTCATTGTCCAAAAGCGCCATGTACCATGCATGACCTAACAACCACTACGATAGCTAAACGACAAGTCAAGTTATAAATTGGCAAAATAGCAAGTCTGCAATGGCTTGCAATACCCATTAAAGGCTGCAATGTTCAAAAGAGCCATTCACCATGACCTAACCTAACCCTACTGTAGATAAATTTAGTCTTCGCAGCTGCTCTCATTGTGTCACCCGGCTTGCAATCTGTGAGATTTGGGAGACTTGACTTGCTTGAATTGGAACCTCACAGTTTGGCCTTTATGTAATAACCTACAAATTAAGATGGCGTTAGTATGTTGGATGTAATGGATTAAGATAAAAGGAACATCCACTAGAACGAAATCATACATATGTCATGAGTTGCACTACATGGGCCTGACTACTCGATGAAGAAGTATCAGCTTTTAAAGCTCTTTGTTGTAGCTTCTGTAATGATGCAACTCTGTTTCTCTAAGCTTGTTCAAGTTGTTGCCTCCTCTTTGCTTCTTCCTTCTCTTTCTTCTTCTCTTGTACCTTAATTTTTCTTGCTTCATTGTGGAAGGTTTTGTTGTGCCCTAGTAGACCACATTCCGTACACTAGTACTGCTTTCTTTCAGGTTTTGCTTTGTCCCTTCCATCCTTCTTGTGTCTCTTCTTGGTTTTTTCAGCCTCCTCGAGACCCTTTCTTTGGCCTCCCTCTCTTTTTCGATTCTTGAGGAGGAGGAACACCAACATCTCCCAACTCGGAAACTGGCCAATTGTCCCCACCAGTAGTAGGCAAAATGGAGTAGCTATAAATCGGTGCAGCAGTCTCCTTGGTGTAGCAACCAACAACATAGTCTTGCACATGCAGGTTTGCCGTATGAATGGCTTGAATAGCATGCTGGCAAGGAATACCAGTCAAGTCCCATTTTCTGCAAGTGCAAGTCTGATCTTTCAAACTCACAATAACCTGCTTGTCGTGCCACCTTACTTCAAACTGTCGTCTCCCATTAGACACAACAACCCACCTCACAGACTCTCCAGTCAACATCGAAAACTTTATCTCAATATTTGGACAATAAGGACCAGCCCACTTGTCCACATCCTGTTGTCGTCGGGCGTATAAAACCATCAGATTCCTCCACATACCCTCCCACATGCTGATTGGACCCAAATCTCTCTCTCTTCTAGTATCACATTATTCCAACTCCCAACAATATTGCTGGTGTGTATCCAGGAATTGGTGAAAGTCTGATAATGTGATCTAGTCCAATGGAAGGACTTTTGGACCAGCCAATCATGGGCGGGTTTGCTATACTCAGCCAATGATTGAATCACATGTCGAAACTCAGACACTGTAGTCGCCCTAACTGCTGTCCAAAACAAGTCCTTGAGCATTTTGGAGCCTCCACAAGCCCCCTTCAGATTAGTCCACAGGTGTCTTGCACAATGGCGCTTCTCACAGTAGGGGAACAACTGGTCAAGGGTTGGAACGAGACCCTAAACACAAGAAAAATGGATTAGCATTTATCGTTTGACTAATTGCAAAAGAAAGGAAACTGAATGTGGTTTACCTTCTGCTTATCTAACATGAATAACCATATAGGATTGTCTTCTATATTCAGATCGACAACAAGTAGCTCAGTAAACCACTCCCAATTTTCCTTGTTCTCCACTCCGACATGAGCAAACGCAATAGGATAATACTGCTCATTAGCATCCAAACCCACCGCTGAAAGAAGTTGCCCTCCAAATTCATGCTTCAAGAAGCAACCATCGATGCACAATACTTTCTTATATCCAGCCTTGAACCCTTGCTTGGATGCATCAAAACACACGTACATTCGGTTAAAACATTGAGCTCTCTACTCAATGATAACCGTTGAGTTTGGGTTGCTGATATTAGGCTTTAACATATTGAATTTTTGGACTTTAATTATGTGATTATCCATGGTATGTTTTAGCCAATTGGTGCTATTTTAGGGCTCGCTAACCCGAGAATGGTTGAAAAACCATTACTGCCTAGTGCCATGAGTTTGATGTGTTACAGGTGAAGAAAACACGAAAAAGAAGTTGCACTGGCAAACAATTATCGATTCACTGACTAAGTAGCACGTGGGCCTGACACATGGAGCTGGGCTCAAGGCCCAGCGGCTTTGAAGAGGAAGCGGCCACGAGGGGGTCTTAATGGCGGGCCGGACAAATTATGCTTGGCGGCAAATAATTGGAATGGGGGGAGCCATTTTTTTTGGACGGAGAATTCAGGGGATGGAATCTCTTTTTTTTGGACGGAACTCACCTGGGGAGGGGAAAGAGACGGGCGGCGAAATTCTTGGAAAAACAAAAGAAAGGGAAGCGGAAATTGCTTTGGGAGGAGGCGGAATTCTTTGGGGGGCCCCACAATTCTATTGGGACGAGAATTCTTAGACGGGAGAAAAGAAATTTCAGGCGGCGATTCTTTTGGGGAGGCAATTAAGCGCGGGGGAGAAAACTCTTGGAAAAAAAGGATAGAAGAAAAGCGCAGCGGAGCTTGTCAAAGGATCTAGCGATTATCGATTGGTGATCAGTTTTCTAAGGTTTGAGTTGAGTTCAACGAGAGCGATTAGTTGTTTATTGTTGATTTAGAACATGATGAACAAAACCCTATTGTTTTATCTCAATTTCGTCATGAACTAAACCCCGATTTATGGGGGAAACACCATAGGATGTAGCTATTTCTTGATTTGATGGATTGATTCATGATTCTTTTCTTCCAATCTCTATTGCATGAAATTTCTTAATGCTTTGTGTTGACTGGCCACCAATACATTGATTTGTAGTTAATTAGGTTATTAGCGACAGTGAAACCCTAATAACTGAACCTATTTCATGTGACATAGTAACTTATCGAAGCGACAGTGGATTAAATAAGGTGCTATGCGGTCTTAAATAGGATATCGATCTTCAGGCTAAATAATTAGGTCATTGAGCTACGACAGTAGGATTTGATTTAATTATTTAATACGTAGTAATTCCCGACAGGGATAGCTAGCACATTCGTGATATCCTGATTGTAGAGATATTGATTAAACTGATTGGAATATGCGAATTAATCTGGATAGGATAGGTAGTGAATCCCGGTGTTTCTCCCAGAGCTTTCTCCCATTGATTTTCTCCCGACCATTTTACTTTGCTTAATTAGTTTATTTTGCTTTTAGATAATTAGTCTCATTAAACCATTTTCACCTATAGTTTGCTCTACAAAATTGATAGAACTTAAGGTTGTACCAGTCCCTGAGAGACGATACCCGGACTTTCCGGTTTACTACAAGATAGGAATTGAAGCTATACGCTTTTGCCCTATCAGTTGCTCATTCTCAACTCCTCGGCATAATGATACAAGCACTTGTATTGCTCCTTCAAGTTGCCACGAACCTGCTCGATGGCTGCCTTCTTTATTCGGTAAGCCTTCTTGTCTCTCCCATCTTCTTTGTAGTCTTCTTTGATTATGTTTTTTACCAAGGCCTTGCTCATGGTCAGATCAGCAGCCACCTTTTTAGTTAGTTTTGCCCCTAGAAACTTTGTCGTTCCAAACTTGACTTTGAAAGTCTTTCGACAATCAGATGTGTGCACCACCTTGCACTTCTTAATCTGGACAGAATCTTCTGAACTCATCTTCGAAGACCAAATGTACCAGTCGCATTGGGATTCACACACTGCTTGCAAACGGATCTTGTCATGCTTCTTGAATTTAATTGGCCTCTTCTCTATAAAGCATGCTGCTTTATTGCTTCTTTCAGAACTACAAAGATGCTGAATTTTTGGGAAGCAACAAAAGTAGGTGCCTCCATGTCTTGATCAACCCGAAACTCCTCAACTTGGTACCCATCATCTGAATCTGAACTTACTATACTCTTGCGGTCATCAGAGTCCACATACTCAACTTCTTCTTCAACTACTTCAGGCTGTCCATTTCCAATTTTAAAGCCACCCATGTCAGCTTCCACATCTTGATTTACATATTCTTCAAACTGATCATTGTCACCATCACTAAGATCTTCTTCAGAACATACATAATCGTTGTCTTCGTCCTCATCATAGTCCCTATCCACTTCACACTCAACTTCAACGCCCTTTCTCACTTCCTCCAACCCAGCCTTCATGAAATCTTCAATATCATTGTTGGAGATAGCATACAGTTCAATTACTCTTTCACCTCCATTAGCTACAGTTGACATGCCTAGAATGTCTTCGTCATTAGTAATCTCTGACATTGAACTATTGCAAGGAGATTTCCAAAAGAATTTTGGATCCTTAACCCTCCCACCACATGCCTGGTATATTTCAGGCAAATCCAACACTGATAGCTCATCAATGTCAGCATAGTCCCAAAATACAGTTTCCTTCTCATTGAGAAAATGCTAGTCACTCTTCTTCTTTAATTCAAGTGACACATGCACTACAAAAGTGAATTCCCCACTGCAACCACCTGTTATGAAGAAAAAATAGCAAAATGTAAGTAAGTGGTCACCATAAAGGCCACTTGTAATAAAAGAAACACAAGTGTTTGGTCGTCCCCACAAGAATCTGCATTTTTCTATTCCAAAACGACAATCAAGTGTTGTCTTTATCTATAATAAAGTCTAACTGTGAAATGGTATACCCCAAGAATGCTCTTTACATAAAGACAAGAGAGAAAACTCATAAAAGCAAAGAAAGAAGGTCAATCAACTACTGCTAGTCTTGGTCATCCCCACAAAACCTGCATTTTCTATTCCCAAACGACAACAAGGTTGTCCTTGTCAAACTTTATGATACAACCACTACTGTCTACCATAAAGACAAGGGTCAAAACAAAGGTAAACTTACGATAATGGGGCTGAATAGCATCTGGTGCCCGCACATGCCATACCATAGTTCTCGCGTGGAATGGTGAGCTGGGAAACAAACAGGAAAGTCCAATTTTCAGTATAAAACAACCCCAACAGAGAGCCCCAAAACCAAACATGCAACCTCTTTTCCAGACTCTTCAGACTACCTTATAACCAGAAAAGAGCAAAGAAACAACTTATATTTACAGTAGGGGATAAGAGAGTAGCAACTGCCGCGATGGGGGAATCGATTTAGGGTTTCTTCCACTATTGCGATTGAGGAAGCTGACGCTGGCGCGCGACTAAGAAGAAGAAGAAGTACAGCGCAAATCAAGGAGAATCTGAAGGTCTCGTTGTCTGCTGTGGTGGGTGAAACTAACTACGATGGGGGAAACGTGCGACTTCGAAGAAGACTTCAACGCGACTTCGAAGGAGGTTGCTGGGACAAAGGGATCAAGGGGTAGTGATAATGGCTCCATCTCTCCCTGCTCTCTACTCTCATATTAGTGTGGTCGAAAATGGCGAAGGGCAAGAGCTCTCGAGGAAGGAGATGGATAATAGGTGGCAACAAAGACCCATCTGACTCCTTGTCTTTACATTGCATGTGGAGAAGATGGATAACAGGTGGCAGCAAAATGCAACTCAACCCCTACTTCCTCCTTTCCCATGTCTTATCTATCAGCATTCTCATTAATCTCCTTCCCCTTGAAGTAAAGGTGTGATCATTAGTTGTTCTGCTTTCTATTATTCTTCTCTCTCGGTTCGCCTTTCGCTGAGAGTCCAACGACCACCACCCTTCTTGCGGCCTGGTTTTTAGTTCTAAAAGCATGATCTGGTTGTTTTCTTCCAATTACCCTTCGTCGGCTAGGAAACAAACTTAACAAAGTAGTCGAATGAATCCCTTTCTTTCAGTTACCCTCTTCTTCTAATTGCATGCCCAGTCCCATAGGTCATAGAAAATGGTGGTCAATCATCTGTTAACGGCAGCCACTCACCGGAACATCGGAAGGGAGGTATCAAACGGAAAGAAAAATAATTAGAAGGGAGAGAGCAAGCACAACCGTCAATCGAGCGACGGAGGGTAAGAAAAGCAAGAAGCGCGCGGGAAAAGGAATCACCCAAAAGAAAGGGCGGAAAACAGGGGAAACTGTTCATAGAAAGAGCCTCCGTACCATAGGGGGCTTACGGTTATTCTCTCGGATCCAGTTGTAGAGGTAGGCGTCCAACTCAGGTAGCCGTCAATCAAGAAACGGGAGGAAGAGCGGCGAATCGCTCATTCTGTTGTCAGATTGAAGTGTTGGGATGAAATTTTCGTTTCTTTGCATGTACCCCATTCCGTTGTCAGATTGAAGGATGAGCGGAATTGCTTGGCCGGCCCGAGGGGAAGAAAGGGTAGAACCGATCGGCAAGGACAATAGGTCCACAGACAACCACGGTAGTCAGGTAGCCGCCACGCAGATAGATAGAGGAAGAAAACAATGGTGATCCGTCAGCCATAGATAGAGGATCTCTGGAAGAGAGGAAGGAGAAAAGGAGACGGAGACTTGGGTAGCCGCCAGCTAATCGTCGGCAGGGAAAACGTCTGGCTAAATGCCTGGGTTAGGTAATAAGGAACGGGTGTATAAATCTTACGGTACACCTGCCCTTACCCTACTGGACCCCTTAAGTATACTCGCCAAATAATATATCTAATTTTTAAATTAAATGATAGATATTGATAGAATGAAGCGTTAGATGATGAAAAAAGATGGAGGTAAAATTTCCCCTTATCAAAATTTAAAAATCAAAGGTCACAGAGCCAAATATTTTCCTTTTCATCTTCATCATCAAAAGATTCTTTTTTTTTGCTTAATATCTTCTATTAATAACGAACAACTTACAACTCGATGGACTCATAACTGGCCTGGCTGATCCGCATAACTTGTATCTCGATGAAGCCGAACTTTGCTTATCAGAAACCCGATTGAATCTGAACCCGAATAACTTGTATCTCGATGAATCCAAACCCGAATGACTCTTAACCCAATCGAACCTGCAACTCAACTAACCGTAACTTGATAACTTGAAATGCAATAGAACCTGCAACCCATCTAACCGTTAAACCGATGATCTCGAACCCGTATAACCCATAGCCGTACCTAATTGACCCACAAATTGGTTAACCTGTCACTCGAGCAAACCCAACACTAACCGCCCGATTCACCTATTTTTGTGAGCATGTTGTTGTACATTGACGATTTGACGTTAATGGGTGGCTTTATGACCAACATTCACATCATAAAGCTATGAACATCAAATTTCGTTCTCGAGCTGCGCCACATTCACATGATAAAGCTATGACCAACATTCACATGACAAGTAGATGAAATGCAAAGATGTGATCGTGATTATCACCATACAGGATCCGCAATGGAGTCAAATGATAATGACGCAAAAGATTTCTTTAACCAAATACTGTAAGAACACACATGTAGTTTCTGCTTGTAAGTTGTAACTGGTTTCACCGGAAACCTTATTGGATGCAGACAACCACAGACAATAACAACAAGAGAAAGGATAGGAGAAAAATACAAGAAAGAAATATACAAAGCTAATTAACAGATCAATATGAACAGGAGGAGAGGAGCATACACACATCTACACGTATACATAGATATACAAAGTGAAGTCAGCGAATCATCTTGTACCAAATGGAGCAATCAGCGAGCTCAATCCTAGCGTCATGGGTGTGACCACAATTGTCATTGAGTTTGTTCTTGGCAGTAACCAGACATGTAATGTTCATTCTTCATTTGATTGACCAACGTTTAAATCTCAATAATTTTTTTTAATATATAACGGTAAATTGGGTGTAATTAAAATGAAATTCCTAAATCACTCTTAAGCCAAATGGGAGAATTTTATTCTCAATTGACTTTAAACATATTTATAAATATAATTTTTCTTGTTTGTTATTTTAAAAAAATAAGCCTCTGGAAGGGCATGAGATCAATGTCTAAACTTTATGGGATTATTGACATGCTAACTAACTTTCCAGGCATTAGATGTAAATCGTCATTATTATCTATAACACATGAATTAAAATAATAACAACGAATGCAACCTTTTGGTTTGTTTCTATTGGTTTTCTCGTATAGATGATCTCTCTAAATAAAATCCAAAATTGAAAAGAATAAAAGAAAGAAATTGGGTCTTGAATTTATCTTTTGTCATGAATAGATACATGAAATTTCTACTATTTTAAGATAGATACATGGGAGAAAATGGTAAGGCATATGAATATCGTTGGGCTTGGTTTGCTTCATCTTTGTAATGAGAGGATGAACATTTTTCGTCGATAGAAAAAATATGTTACAACTGCTTAGTTATTTCTCAACTAATTGTTGTTGGCGACTGGTCTCTCGTCCCCAACGATATTTGGCTGCATGCGGTTGACCGACAGAGTTCTACTCTTCTTTCTATTCTTTTAATTCCTTTCAAATTATGGCGACAGGGTTGTATGTTTGCCCACTCGATTCTATTGATGCATTTCTCCTTCGTTTTAGGTAGTTGTATTCAAAACTAAATTACTGCCACATCAGTACATGTGTAGCTCTCATCCTTCCATGTTGGACAATTTCTAATTCTACATGGTGTTCTTTTTTTCTTACCCATTAAATCATAATTATCATCAATAACATGTAAATTAAGTTAATAACAATGAATGCAACCATTTGGTTCGTTTCTTTGCATTTTAAAGTGTAGATTAACTCTCTAAAAATAAAATCCAACATTGAAAAGAAGAATATAAAGAAATTGGGTCAAGCCCTGTAAAAACAAACAAAACTCTCTTCTTATTTGCTCAAAATTTGAGTTTCTAGCATTTATCTTCTAAACTATTTTATGCATAGGTACATGGACGGAAATTGTAAGGGATATGGAGTTTTTTCATTGCGAGAGAATATAAAACTATAGGTACAACTGTAAACAATTAGATGAGAAACAATGAGCATTTGTAGCATAATTTTATTTCTTGACGGAAAAAATTTCATTCTATCATTGCGAAGACGAAGAGAACCAAGCAGAAGACTGACGACTACTCCCTCTTTCCCGTTGATTTGCAGCAGGTGACTGGTCTTGCGCCCCCAACGATCTTTGGCTTTTTGCAGTTGACCGGCCGAGTTGTATTCCTCTTCCCATTCTTTTCTTAATTACTTTCATATTATGCGCATGGTTGTAATTAAACTTTCTACTCGATTCTACCTATTTATTTCTTCTTCATTTCTGGTAGTTGTATCATGGTTTTCTATTATGTATTATTCTTTTATGTAAATAGACAATTGATAATTGGGAATGCTACTTGCTTGGACTTAGAGATTCTCTCCTTGGGTTGAATAAGTTTATTCTTGGAGACCTATATTAGC